AAAATGATGAAGTACAACAATAACACACCAACAATACATTAATCTAATCATTTATGACTAATAGGTATAGCTACCTATTTTAATGTATTATACCTGTGGTTTTTGCAATAAAATGCTATATATTATTCACTATGGAAAAAATGGAGCGCAACCACAAGTATAATAATACTTGAGTAATATAAGTCTTGAATAAAATAGAGTATACACTACTCCCAATAATGGCTATTATTCTTTCGGAATGTTACTATCATTAGTGACTCAAGATATAATCTGCTACTATTCATATATTACTACTCACATACTATTCATATACAGGGTGGGTCACGGTGGATGGCCTATATCAGAAGTATCTGGATAACGAAAAAACAGAACATTCTGAAAATTAGGATGCTTCGATAATTGAACATTTTCTATTCGTCTAAAATGTTTTCATCGATACAGTGTTGCCACTTCTATCAGAAACAACTAGGAACTTCGTTATTTTAAATGGAGCACCCTGTATTTTATTGCATTTTCAGATTCTTTCTGAAGAGCTGATTATATCAATGCATGACACTTGGGGTCTAGAAGGCATGATTACAGAGATATAGGGTGTTCAAAATCGAGATTTTTCACTTTTGGGATTTTTTTGTGTCGAAACTATTCATTATCTATCAAAACGGTTTACATGTCCCTATCTTAACTTTCGATCCACTATCTACTGATATTTAATTGGAACAGATACAGGGTAATCAGAATTCTGAATCTTGAAGCACCCTGTATTTTTTCCAATTAAATTCCAGGAGATAGTGGATCAAAAGTTGAAATAGGGACATGTACGCCGTTTTGATCAATAATGAATAGTTTCGACACAAAAAATCCTGTAATTGAAAAATCTAGATTTTGAAAACTCTATATCTCTGTAATCATTTCTGCTTGATCCCAAGTATGATACATCGATGAAATCAGCTCCTCAGGAAGAATCTAAAAATGCAATGAAATACAGGGCGTTCCATTTGAAATAACAAAGTTGCTAGTTGTTTCTGATAGAAGTGGCAACACTGTAACGATGAAAACATTTTAGACCAATAGAGAATGTTCAATTATCAAAGCATCCCAATTTTCAGAATGTTCTGTCTTTTCGTTCTCCAGATACTTCTAATAGGCCATCCACCGTGACCCACCCTGTATATAATTCAGCAGAAGTTTTTTATGGAAACCGAATTGCCAGAATTGTATGTTTCTCAATTTGTATTAATTTTTAATTCGAATTTTATTTGGAGCAATTTATTTGCTCTTTGTCGAAGTTTCATGGATATCTATTAATCACAATCAGGGCAAGAAAAAAATGAAAAACTACAAGAATGGCAGTTCAATGCTTCTGTAGATTCTATACAGGGTGTCCCTGAAAGATATGTACAAAATTTCAGCACATATTCCTTAGGTCAAAATGAGCCGATTCAAAGAAACTTACCTTAGTCCATTGCTTCATTTCCGAGATACAGGGAGGTGAAATTAAAAAATAAAAATCAAATTTCTCGATATATATGTACATTTCCAGACATGTATCATTTCAAAAATGGGATGCGAAACCCGAATACGGACATCTTCTCACTGTGGCCAATAGAAGTCGCTTAAAAATGCACTTCTTATGGTGTGGAATGACTATAACATTTTTCTCAGTGTAGTTATTCACTTTTTTTATTGAGGAAATGATTTTCTGAATATTTCGGTTTTTAGTGTTCGATACCGCACCGGAATTTTTGAATTAGTTTGAATAAAAATGTTTGCTGTTATCTTCGTGGATGTAATTCTCCAGTGAATGAGCAGTGCAAAAATGGACCCTTCAAAATACTTTGTTGGAGTGTATTTGCCGATTTTGATTTTGTAAAATTTACCACCCTGTATCTCAGAAACGGGGCAATTTTGGACTAATGTTTTTAGTTGCTTTAAATTGGCTCATTTTGACCACAGGACTATTGGCTAAGATATTGTACAGATCTTTCAGGGTCACCCTGTATATCGGACTGGAAGAAGTCATTCCTAATCACAGACATCAATGCTTGTGTAAGTAATTCATTATTGCACAAATTATTGGCTGAGAAACACAACTCAAATAAGATTATCTTATTTTGAAACTAAAAGTAATACCTGAAAACGAGCCTGAAAATGTACCAGAACATTTTTTCCTAAATAACAACCGAAGGGTGAAACATGGAACAAATTTTGTACAGGATGTCCTATTTCCGATGTCCTTACGGGATATCTCACTCATTTTCGAAGATAGAGATTTTCGGTTTTCGCGAACGTTTGCTACCTTTTTATGAAACTCACGGTAGCGCAAACAAAATTTGCATAACTCGCGTCGTTTTTGAGATACAGGGCGAAATTGATAATATGGCATTTTGGTACCCTCCCTGTATCTCAGTTATCCTTCAACTTATCGAGAAGATATGGACTGCCTTTTGAACAATTTTTCACGTATAATCCAGTGGCGTAGTCAGATTTCAGGAATAAGCTACAATAATGCAGATATAACCCAAAGTAATGTTTTTTTAAATGGAACACCTTGTATATTTTATAAGGTTACTAGTATAGTAAATTCAAGATTGTATATCTATATTTTAGTCTTACTCTTTTCAATAAATTTACTCAATATATTGATTTTGGTGGAGGAAAGGACCCCGCACGAAAACACGGGAAATTGGCTCTCAGAGGTCGAATTGGCTGAAATTTTACTATGTTGTTATGGAATGGCTCATTAGAAAAATATGTGAGTTTAAAAAGTTTTATATGTTTAGTTTGTGAGATATAAGCCGACAAAGTTCGTAAAAACGTCGTATCGGGGTAGGATTTACAAAGAAAAAAACTGTTTTTTAGTATAAAGTATAAAAATGTATTCATCGAAACTCGAATACATGTCTAGTTATGATCACATCAATTATAGTAAATCAGGGTGTATACGAAGCACGGTCAAAAAATTCATTTTTCGGAAAAAAAATTCGAGCACTATTCCAAAACCAACAAGGTATATTTTGGTGAGACATCACATTTTTAGTCTATTGTAGGCTTCGAAAACGTATTTTCATTCTTGATAACTATCTCTGTTCGAAATATGAACTCTTTGAATTTTGTGTTGCACCCCTTTTGGAAATTAATTGACAGCTTGTTTTTGATCACAAAAAAAAGGATTGATTGATACTGTTGATTGAATGAAAGCTGAGGTAACTCACTAGCGAATTCAGTTGTCCAATATTGCGTTTCATTTAGAAACAGGGTGTGTTAGATTTTGTTGATGTTAATTTGGATCTCATTTTACTCACACTATTTTGAATATGTTGACTATCATATGCAAAAAGTTCTTCAATTTTTTATGTTTCGTTTCTGAGATATGCATCCCTGTGATACTGTAAACTCAAAAACTGATATCTCAGGAACGAAACATGAAAAATTGAAAAACTTTTTGCATATGATAGTCAACATATTCAGAATAATGTGAGTAAAATGAGATCCCTATTGACGGAACTGTTTTCGAGATATTCAATTGAAACATGTTAAATAATCTTCAACAAAATCTAACACACCCTGTATCTAAATGAAAGGCAATATTGAACAACTGAATTCGCTAGTGAGTTACCTCAGCTTTCATTTAATCAATAGTATCGATCTATCCCTTTCTTTGTGATCGAAAACAAGCTGTCAATTGGTTTCAAAAAGGAGTATAACACAAAATTCTAAAAATTCATATTTCGAACAGAGATAGTTAAAAAGAATCAAAATACGTTTTCCGAAGCTTACAATAGACTGAAACTATGAAGTCTCACCAAAATATAACTTGTTGGTTTTGGAATAGTGCTCGAATCTTTTTTCCGAAAAATGAATTTTTTGACCGTGCCTCGTATACACCCTGATTTACTATAATTTATGTGATTAAAACTAGACATGTTTATGAGCTCCGATCAATACATTTTCTAGCTTATTTTGTTTCATTTATACTAAAAAAGCAGTTTTTTTCTTTGTCAATCCTACCCCGATACGACGTTTTTACGAACCGTGTTGGCTTATATCTTAGAAACTAAACATACAAAACTTTTTAGACTTCAGCCAATTCGACCGAGAGCCAATTTCCCGTGTTTTCGTGAGGGGTCCTTTATCGTCCAACAATTTGGTGTAGAGATTATTAATACTATCTATATTGGATGTGCATTCGAAAAAAGAGTGATTAATATTTGAAATATGAAAAAATATACACATTGTTTCATGAAAAACTTTAGGTTATATCTTGAATAATAACATCTTAATCTGAAAATCTGACTACGCCACTGGATTCTATGTAAATAAATGTATGAGCCATAGTTTTTACTTTTTCGATAAGTTGAAAGATAGAGGTTCCCAAAATGATTTTTTTTTCTATTTCAGCCTGTAACTAAAAAACAGAGCAAGTAATTAAAATGTTGTTTGTGGTGTCTTGCTTGAGTTTCCCAAAAAAGTGAGATATTCCGTAAGGACATCAAAAATGGGACAGCATGTACACCTACTAGATTTCAAGAAATTCCAACAAATAAATCTCAGGAATTACATGAAGATAGAATTTCAGATAATTTCACATTTTCAAATCTAGTACACATTTGAGTATAACAATAAACACCTACCAAGTATTCCAAACTTATTATCTCCGGTGACCATGACATTAAAAAAATGATTTTGACAAATCTCATGCAACTTTATATAATAGGACTTGTGTATTTTATGTATCTGAGTACACGGTAGAAATGAATTCTTGTTATGTGTTGATTTTTATAATCAAAAAGAAATTTTGATGGTAGAATTGAATCATGCATTCAACTAAACCTTTTCCAGATGTATTTCAGGCAGCTATGTGAAATTGAATTGACTATTCTGAAATACAATTGATGCTTTTGGAAACACAAGTGACTATTTTGAAATTCAATTGACTGTTTTTAAATACAATTGATGCTTTCTGAAATACAATTGACACTTTCTGGTATACATCTAAAAAGGTGTAGTCTACATAGTCCCAAAGAACATTACACTTCAATCCTATCAGTCATTTCAAGAAATGAGAGAATTGCCATGGTTAACATTGTGCACTGCAAAGTTTGACTGCCCCAGGAATTTTACTAAACAATGAGCTCCAAGTAATCCCCCAGAACTCCAAAGAATTTCAAGGAATTCTAGTACACCACGGTTCACCTCTCGATAACCCTAAACAAAATCTATACTATACCCCGATCAATAATCATCGGAATGCCTGACCATCAGCCCCTTGCAGGACTTCAGATGTATGTTCAGCATGGCTTTAGCGACGAACCCTTTGGTACAAAACTGGCACACATAGGGCTTCTCCCCAGTATGCCCTCTCATGTGTATCACCAAACTAGACCTCTGCGAGAAAGCCTTAGTACAAAAATCGCAAATATAAGGTCTTTCTCCAGTGTGGATCCTTGTGTGCTCCACAAGGATCGGCTTCTTCGTGAAAGATTTATCGCAGTAAGCACACGCGTACGGCTTGTACCCAGTATGAATCCTCAGGTGGAACTTGAGTTTTTCCTTGCTGGAAAGCAACTTTCCGCAGATATCGCAAATTGAAAAGTTGCCTGTATGCGAGTTCATATGCAGCTTCAAGCTATTCTTGTGCTGGTACTGCTTCTTGCAAATAACGCACTCGTGCAAACTCGGGAAGATCATGTCCTCCTTGTGAAGGTTAAGCTTGTGAGCGTGCAAGTACCTCGAGTACATGAAGCACTTGCCGCAAAATTCGCAATCGAAAGGCTTGAGCCCTGTGTGGTAGTTGTCGTGCTCTTGGAACCAAGACAGGATCTGGAAGCCTTTTTTGCAGGGTTGGCACCAGTACTTCAACAGATCCTCGTGGTTGTTCACGTGCTCCATGATCTTGTTGATGTCTGGCGTGTTTAGATCGCACATCAGGCACTGAAACAGCCCTGGTTCCGAGTGGATCCTCAGGTGGAGGATATGGTCTAGGATCTTTTTTTGGGAGGCGTTGCATATCTCGCAGAAGAAGTAGTTGTTGTGGGTTTCGATGTGGTCTTTGACAGCGTTGTTCGTTCTGAACTCCTTGCCGCAGACGTCGCAAGAGTGCGTTTCGTTGGTCAAGCGGTAGCTTCTCAGTCTTTTGCCGGGGTGGTTGTCTTTGTAGTGGTTCTTTAGCTCTTTGGGCGAGAATTCCACCTCCTCTTGGTTGTCCTTGATGCACAGGGGGCACTTGAATTTCCTGAGGTCTTCTTGAGGTAGCATGGCTTTGAACTCTTGCTGGAATTGTTCTTCTGAGAGCGGGACTATGAGCGGTAGCTCCATGGGATCAGCTGGTTCTTCTTTGATTTCTTCCTTTATCTCGCCTTCGCGCAATGTGCTGTCTGTGGGTTCGGCTTTCACGGTCACATCTTCCGGCTGATTTTTGCCCCTTTTCTTGTAGTTCTTTGGCGTCTTAGGAGATTTCACCTTCTTTTCTTTTTTCTTCTTCTTCTTCTTTCCTGTAGCTGACCAAGAAGGGTCCTCGTCTTCGTTGTCGATGATGCCGCCGTTTAATAAAGCTTCTGTCACCGGTGGACATTTCCTGGGTCTGCCTTTCCTCCTTTTGACTTCTTCGCCGGCAGGTTCTACGGGACTAGTTGGTTTTTCTGTTGGGTCCATTGGAGATGTGTCTTCTTCTGGTTCTTCAGTCTTGATTTCTGGGGGAGGAGTGGGAGCGATCGTTATCACTTTTCTTGGCCTGCCTCTTCTCTTGGGACGAACTATTTCGCCTGATATATGGCCATCTTCGGTACCTTCGATTTTTATTTTGATTTTCTTGATTCTCGGTGATGATTTTGCTGCTATCGGTGGGGCTTCGTCTATAGTTACAATTGGTGTGAAATAGTCCATAGGAAATCTGAAAATAATAAAGGGTACGCGATAAAATACAGGTACTTATTGAAATTTTTGTGATTAAATTATATCGCCTACCCAGTTTGAATTTTCGATTTTTATTGAAAATTATCGTGAAACATCATACCATTTTATTTTTTTATGTGGAATGTGGATATGATTTTCAACGAAAAGGTTTGTTAAAATGATTTTCAACCGAGTTTTCAACGAAAAAGTTTGTTGAAATGATCATCTGATCATCAGTAATTCAATGATTTTTAATCCAAGTCACTGCCTTTCGTATGATTTTAGTTGCATTTTAGATTAATGGAATGAGAAAATCCATTATCAGATACTACATATTTATGGTGTTACTTTAAAAAAACCAAGGCTGATTTCCAGTGCCACGAAACTGAAGATCCTTTATATGAAAAATCTGAAATGAAACATTTTGTTCTTTTAACCAACTTTTCTGTCGAGCATTTTTTTTACTTATCCCTAAAACCAAAAACCTAAGGGAGTGTAGAACGGTTTTCATCTGTGAGCAATACATCAGATACGATTTGAAAAAAATACGTACTCAATTACCGGTTCTTAGAATTTCATCCCAGACAGCACGGGATATTCCTAGGAAATCTATCTCGAATATCCACCGGATATTCCTAGAATACCTATATACGAGCCTATATAAATACTCCTTGAATACATAGATACATACCTCTGGGAAATCTAAGGTATAGTCAAATGTGAATATTCCAGTAATATTCCGAGATAATATGCAAGGAAGATTCCAGCAGGAATATTCAAAGGTGAAATTTCCCAGAATATTCCAGTTGTATTGTTCAGGGAACATTCCAAAATATTCTCTACTGATGAGCATTCTGTTTTGTAGAATATTCCAGGAACATTCATTAATTCATATTCCTGTATCATCCCTGGAATATATATACAACGTGTCTCATTTCAAACGGCCCCCCCTCTATATCTCAGCTATCAGTCGTGCGATCTTTACCAAATTTTTATCGGTATGAATATAATCATCAATAAGACCAGTCCTTCAAAGACAAACATTATTTTAGATAGTGCCGAGCATTTTTATTGAATCACTATTGTTCTTTATGGTTTCAAACCCACATTTGTGGATTTTCATAAGATGCCTATGAAGGGATTCAGAAAAACAGGCACATCTAAATAGCATTTTTGCGAACATAATAATTATTTACTTGGAAACGGTGAGTTCCACATGAAAAACTAACTCGTTTTTCCTTCCAAATCATGATTTTAACCTACCGGAGCCATTGAACGTTGATTTGAAGTCACTATTTATTCGAGACTGATAATGAAAAAAATGAAGCCAATCCTGTTAATTCGGAATTAGGTGATTTTTTGCACATTGAGGTTCGAAAGCATGAGGAACAATAATATGAGGTTAGATTACCTGTAAAAAAATGCCTAATATGATTTTACGATGATTTTATGAAAAATCGACCCCTTTTTAGTTCAATAAAAACGCACGGCACTGTCCAAAATAATGTGCATCTCTGTAAAACTGATCATATTGATGGTTATTCATACCACACCAAATTTGGTTGGGATCGCATGACTAATAACTGAGATTTAGAGGGGGGCGTTTAAAGTGAGACACGCTGTATATATAAGTAAATTCTGAATATTTAGGGAATATTTCTTCTGTGATATTCCATCGAAGATATGAATATCCCTGACATGTTCATGAATATTCCCATATCGCATAATGAATATTCTATTAATATTCATGGAATATCTGGTGCTGTCTGAGATCATCATCAATAATGATTTTCGAATTAACCATTTTGCCTTTCCAATTTTCCAATTTAATAATTCAATCCTGCTGATGAAACAAATTGATTTTGGAGGAATTAAATAATTAGAGCCAGAAAAGTGGTTGATATTGTAGGTACAGTATACCCCTTTTATACAACCTATGTGACGACTATGGCTAATTCATTTTTGATTGGAAACGGTCCTGTTCGTAACTCCCCGCATATTTTTATTGATTTTACATCGTCGTTAATCTATTCTGATCATCTGAGGCAGATTATAAAATTGATAATAAATACAAATCATAATTAACATAATATTAAGTAGTACCTAGATATATTTGATGTTTTCATATGCTTAGGCCTCTAGGACATTGATAAAATTTGCTGAATCAGTTTATCATACACTTTTAGATTGAATTTTAATTTACTTTAGTTGTAATTTGAGGATAGGTCAATGAATGTGATGATATTGCAAATAATCACGTAAAACAAGTTCATATTGCTAACGTGCGATGAAATAAAAAACTGAGAACAGAATAATCTTTAGAAAGATAATGATAACACCTAATTAATATTTGCAGCTGTTACGTTGAGAAGTGTATATGTGTTTTTTTTCTGTTCATCATTCGATAGTACGAAAGAATCATTGATAAAATCCCTTGTCATATTATATCTTATCTACAGTCAAAGAAGTCTGTCAATTTTATTTAAATTGGCGGTATATTTGAGCGGTAGAAAATAAATAAATATAAATATATTACCTAACCTCCCATGGACAAAGTTTTCGTGATAAGCAACAACAGCAAATAATGACTTTGTATAATAAATATTTATCGAGGGTGACAAACAATACAAATATTAAATTTCATTGGCATTTCTGTCATATGTTTTGGTAACCATGGTTTCACATTTTTCATTTCAATAAACATAAACACGAGTGTGTTCCGATATTTGAGGTTTTGAATTAATTTTTTCTCGTAAATCGAAAACATTGCGCATGTGCGTAGAGAACACATGGAATCGGCAACTGTCCACGACAAATTTTAAATTAACATGTTAAATATCATTAACTTACTCTTTTTCCTCGAGATCCGCCATCGAAAATGTCACTGCGATTTTTCACTACAGAAATTTGTTGACTAACCCACACAATTTACCGACTGCAATAATTTTGTGAATACCGTTTTTCACTCACACAAACAACACAACACCCTGTGTATCGCCATCTTGGAACGCGTCATTATTCGTTTTCTGTCTCTGCCTCTGCTACCTGCAACAGCGCTTCGATTGACACCATACACCAAGCATGCGCTCTGTCAGATTATGCGCCAAAACGACAACAATCCGAGATCCGAGATTCGACAAAGAGAAAACATGAGATATCCATATTTGTTTTGGAATTTATTCAGTTTTCAGGATTTTTGAATAATTATCATCATTTATTAAGGTAACTAAGTGTTGAAGGGATCGAGAAAATATTTCTTATATCGGTTATAAAATAATTATGAGGTTTGACCCTTTTTCACTGACGCATGACGTCACAGATTAGGTGAGGTATACAATCGCTTACCATAGGCGTAGTCGGAGTACACATTGAAAATTATTCTTTAATTAGATATAATTCACAAAAGTTCATGAGGGTACTTCTAGGTAGTCAATAGGTAGCTTACCAGAATCCGTTATCATTACCTGACTCGTTAAATGAAGATAACTTACAGGGTGATTCAACATTCTAAATGTCATGTTATCATGTTTTTTTTCTTCATCTCTTGAAGCGTACGAAAGGAAATTACTGTAATAATGCTCGAAGAACAATTTGCTTACCCAGGAAGAGGATATTATGGAAACGAGGTATAGGAGTATATATAGGTAGAAAGTTATTATCAATCAGCACAAATACCAAAGGTTGACGAACAGTGTTTGTTTTGGAAAGAATTTCTTACCCTATATGGGTATCACGAAATTACATAGAAAGTTTTCAACTACCTACAGATTCTAAAAACAAAAATGGTGGAAATAGCCCCCTCATGGGCACGAGATGATATGGTTTTATGTAAATAGTTCCGAAACCATCTGTGTTGATATAACGAAATTTTGTGCATGACATGTATATAACTTTTCATGCCCGATTTGGAAATATTAGTAATTTTCTGAAATTCTGATCAGGGGAGGGGCTTGGGAAATAAGTGGGGCTAGGGGCATTTCTTTCCCCAACTTTTTTTTCAATGCAATTTTCGGCAGTTTGATCAGAAAATATGAAAATATCATAAGTTTTACTTAAAAATAATACTCCTGTTCAGTTTCGATAGCTCTCACCATTATAAATCGATTTCAAGAGTCTGCTGCGTAACAAAAATAGTGATTTTTCCATATAATAGAGTAGCAAATTTTTCCAAAAATTATTTTTCGATAGGAAATACCCTTTTCTCGACATCTACCTGTGATGTTTAGCTCAAAATATGAGAGGAACAATGAAAAAATAATTTGAAAAATATTATGGTAGGTACCCTATTGAGAAAAAGTACTTTATTTTTATTACGCAGCAGACTTTCAAAACTGAACAGTTGTATGTATGTTGCTAGGCAGCACTTTTAGTATATAGGAGTGATAATAAGCAATAATCCACAAATCATAACGGAACATTTTGAGACAATTGAATTTTTATAGCTAATTAGAAAGGGTACAAGATACATTTTTGAGATTTTGTGCATATAGATTAGGCATTCATACACAAAACCATGATTATTCAGATATTTTACGTGAATTCAACCTCAAATCGTTGGAAACAAGAAGAACTCATGCAGATCTTTGTTTTGTATTCAGACTCCTCAATGGACTTATATCGTGTCCGGAATCACTCGAATCAATTAACTTCAACGTTCCAAATAGGAATCTAGAATCTAGACATACATTGTTATTTCACTTACCATTCCATTTTACAAATTATGGCGAGCATGCACCCTTGGTAAGAACTCTGAAGTTATTGAACGACATGAACATCAATATATTTGGATTGTCTTACAATATGTTCAGAAAATCATTGAATAGCTTGTAAGTATAGAAGAGAGTGGCATTTGATTAGTCATCGAATTTGTTATTGATAGTTTCTTAGAGTTTCTAGTCTCATCTATTCCATATATTCATGTGTAAACTAGTTATATAGCCATTGTTGGGTAGGTATACGTTTCATATACTTACTTATTTGAAAAATCTAGATTTCGAACACCCTAAACCTATGTAATCATTCCCGCTAGACCCTAAGTGTGATAGATCGATGGAATCAGTTTCATTCAAAATAAGGAAGTTACAAAGAAATCCGCATCAATAACTGAAACATTTTTGAATCCGCCCCATTTTGAAATCACACTGTATATAAATTCAAAGAAATCCAACAACAGGTTACGGAGATATTCACCTCTGTTTCCATACATATCAGCGATACCCATCTGAAAAATATATTTATTTCTGTATACCCCGTATATTTGAAGAGATATTGCATCATTGTCAATATGACTGAAACCTGTACGAAATATCGTATTATCAGCTTGGATTTTTTTGAATTGTTGGAAACGAAAAAAGAAAAAGGGGGGTTCACATAAATGAAACTGTTTCTTATTGATTTATGAAAGTAAAATAAGAGTAATTTTGTGATATAGAGGTAGAAAATAATAATTTACTGATACATAAAATGTGACTGATCGATTTCGGAATGAGATTCTTCTTTTATGTAGATAACTTGGGAATTAGCGCTGCGCCTCGCCCTATACAGAGTGGTTCTAACGTTCTTGAACGTCCCAACATGGCGAGCAATTTCCGGATGCTTCGCCTCTTCCTCGGCAAAAATTTGCTGGAGCGGCGTGTCCTCACAAACAGCCCTCCTCCACAATTCCTGTCGAAAACGCAAAACCCTTACGTGAGTTTCATCAGCTGGAGGGTGGTTGTGACCAACTGTCAAAAAAGACCCATTTTTTTTCATCGTGATCCTGGCTCGACATCCCAGAGAGTGAGAAAGGCGACACGTGAAATAGGTTATGTTATTTATCTCACTCTTCCTCATGTACAGGTGGTTCTTCATGTCCAAGAAAAGGTAACTGCCTGACGAAGAACCTTCGATCTGCTCCAGTCTAAAATAATTCCAGTTAGAAATGCGTCACCTTGAAGATATCAACTTACCTGTATGTGATGACGATGAATTGTTGCGACCGTCTCGATGAAGTGTCCAGAGAATCGTTATATAGGTACTATGAAGCGTACGGCTGTTATATTGAAGTCTTCCTATTGTCACGATGAAGTGCACTGTTCGATAGTTTCGATGAAGTGTTGGGAGACCGTTTTGACGAAGTGTCCAGAGGATCGTTAGGTACTATGAAGCGTACGGCTGTTATATTGAAGTCTTACTATTGTCACGATGAAGTGCACTGTTCGATAGTTTCGATGAAGTGTTGGGAGACCGTTTTGACGAAGTGTCCAGAGGATCGTTAGGTACTATGAAGCGTACGGCTGTTATATTGAAGTCTTACTATTGTCACGATGAAGTGCACTGTTCGATAGTTTCGATGAAGTGTTGGGACCGTTTTGACGAAGTGTGCAGACGACCATCGGGTATTAGGAGGTGAACGATTGTTACGATGGGGTGATTTGACTGTTGCAATGAAGTGCATAGTTTGAACGTTATGATTAAGGGTGAATAATAAATGGCGGACGAGACACACTGGTATCACAACTAAAATATTCTAGGTTTGAGATAGAAACTTTATTTCTAAGGTATTTCTAAATTAGTCAAAAATATATAAATAACGTTACGTAACTTCAAGTATCTGTTCAGTCAAGAAGATACAAGAAATATATAATTTAACACTATTCTCTCTAATATATTAAAAAAAAAAAAACTATTTATTGCCCAAACAGGTACAAGACCCACTTACAGGACAGCTTTTTACAATGTGTACATGTAACTGAACAATTACTAAAATCTAAGAGCCTTACCCTTACCATATAAACAATAGCAATTATAAAAAAAAGTGAATAATACTTTTTGAATTTATATAGGTACACTCACCGCCAAAATAAACCGGCCACCAAAAAATCTACGCAAATTGTTCAGCCTGTAACTTTTTTAATCCTTGTTCGATTTTTGTGAAATTTCGATCAAATCGTAGATTCATGTTCCGGAATGTTAGACTAAATATCAGTTTTCCTGAAAAGCTGATGACTTGATCATTATACAGGGAAATACCGAAGTTACTCCTTCACCATATACTTCTCAACGCCCTGTGGCAAAATTGCGTGATTGAACATGGCTTCATTATGCTTCGGATTAAAGTGTGATCCCTTCTCAACACAAATGTTTTTGATTCACGTAAATCTTATTATTAAAAGAAGATACGAGTGTTTTAAGGAAGTATGGCGTTTTTCAACTCTTTTTACCACTAATCAGAACTTACATGAACTTATTGATTAACAACTTCAAGGATCAATATCACATATTTCTACCTTAGTTTCTTAGCACTTACCGGAAAATCAATTACAAAAAACAAACAAGAATTGCCTAAAATCCTCCTTGAAGGGCGAATCGTAGCTCTTGAACAGTATCTGACAAGGCTGGGCGAAGGCGAATGAGCCTCTAGAGGTCACCCCTAAGATAGGTAGATAGGTTCTGAATTATTGTTATTGAAAATTAAACAAATCTATACTTTCTTGAAACACTTGTATCTTCTCTCAAAAAAGAGATATTGACGTTATTCACGAACCGTTGTATGAAGAAGGAACAAAAGAGGATCACACTTCAATTTAAAACATGATGAAGCATTGAAGCAGGAGGTTGGAGAATGGATCTGAATTATTGTAAATACAAATTTTAAGAATCTATACTCTCTTGAAACACTTGTATCTTCCTTTAAAAAATAGGTTATCGACGTGAATAAAAAACCATAATGTAGAGAAGAGATCACTCTTCAATCTAAAACATAATGAAGCTAAGTTAAACCACTCACCTTTCCCACAGGGTGTTAAGAAGTTGAGGGTGAAAAAGTAACTTTCGCTTTTTCCTGTATAATGATCGAGTCATCAGATTATCTTAGGAACTAATATTTGGGCTAACATTTAGAAACATGGATCTACGATTTGGTCGGTATTTCACTAAAATCGGACCAGAATTGAAAAAGTTACAGAGCAAAAAATTTGGCTAAATTATTTGGTAGCCGTTTTTTTTTGCCGGTGAGTGTATATTTTGATTAGAAATCAGAATTAGATCAGTACGCC